TTTTTTTTTTTTTAAATTTTTTTTTTAAACATTTATTTATTTTTGGGACTGAGAGAGAGATAGAGCATGAACAGGGGAGGGTCAGAGAGAGAGGGAGACACAATCTGAAACAGGCTCCAGGCTCTGAGCTGTCAGCACAGAGCCCGACGTGGGGCTTGAACTCACGGACCACGAGATCATGACCTGAGCTGAAGTCAGACGCTTAACCCACTGAGCTACCCAGGCGCCCCAACTTCATTTCTTTTTATAGCTGAATAATATTCCACTGTTAGAGTATGTATACACACGTAACATGTTCATACCATATGTTGTTTATCCCTTCCATTAGTTGATGAACATTTGGGTTTCCACCTTTTGGCTGTTGCAAACATTGCTTTGTTAGCTCTTTTCTGCATAACCTCCTGAATATTTATTGAAAGCATAAATATAGAATCACATTTGCATTCCTGGAATAAACCCTCCTTGACTATTCTTTTCAATATTCTTTTCAATATTATTCTTTGACACATTGATGCATTGTTTGCTAGTGCTTTATTTATGAGTTTTATATCCAAGTCACATTAGTCTGAAATTTATCGTGTTTTGATATTCAGGTTATGTTAGCTTCATTAAATGATTTGGGATACTTTGTATATTATTTTTCCTGTGCCCTGCAATAATATATCATTAGAATTAATAGTTCTTTAACTTTTAGATAAAATTGAACTTTGAATCCATGTGATCCAGATGGCATTTGCAGTGGGAGAACTTTTGTTTCCACATTGTTCTAGGTTTCAAAAATATTTTCTACTTTTTCTTGGCTTGATTTTGTTAATTTGTATTTTTTGGGGAAATTACCCTTTCCTTTAGATTTTGAAAGTTATTGCCATAAAACTTAAGTGATATTCGTTTACAGTTCTTTTGGTTGCTTCTGTATCTGTGGTCATTTCTCATTTATCAATTTCCTTGGTGTTTATATATCTGTTTCTTTTTTTCCTTAATCAAGCTTGTGAAAATTTTGTCTGTTATATTAGTTTTTACAAAAGTTTATTTTTTGATTCATGTTTTCTTTCTTTTTAAAATGTTTATTTTGAGAGAGAGAGAGAGAGAGAGAGAGAGAGCGAGTGAGCTTGCATGTTGGGGGGGGGTGGGCAGAGAGAGAGAGGGAGACAGAATCCCAAGCAGGCTGTACACAGCACAGAGCCTGACACAGGGCTCAATCCCACCACCCTGGGATCGTGACCTGAGCCAAAATTAAGAGTTGGACGCTTAACTGAGCCACCCAGGTGTCTCCATTTCTATTGTTTGCCAATAAATGGGCTTGAAAATCTCTTTTTTCTCTCTCTTTTCAGTTTAAGCCTTCATAACTTTCATCCTACTTCCTTCCCCACATCATGTGTGGATTTTTTTGAGTTATGTATTCTCTGTCTGTGAGTTTTTTGGCTTTTAATTGTGCAAAAATCATAGTCATTTTTAAAGGTGTTTACTCAATTTACTTTTTCTGGGAATTCTTTTAGATAGTATTGATAGTTTTAGATTTCACTCATGCCTTTTAGCTTTTTTGAAATGTTTATATTTTCCACTTCTTTACTCCTTTTTTAGTACTTGCAGGAAAATTTCCTGATCTGAGCTTACTGCTTCTTAATATGGTTTTCACTTCTATCCATTTTGCTAGTTAAGTCATTCTTTTGCAAAATTGCAGTATTTTAAAAAGCTGCCATATTCAGTTGGTGGATATTTATTGTTTATTTTAAATTTGTATTCCCTTCGGTCTGTTTATTCTGTTTCCTATGTTGTAAAATGTTCAGTTTGCTGCTACTCCTCAAGTGTCTGGTTATCTTTTTCCTGGAGTACAACCAAATTACAAACTAATAATGTTTACATGAGAAGGGTGAACTCTCATTTGTGTTTATTCAAATGATTTCAGTGAGTAGAGGTAGGATGTGAGTAGAGGGGCTTGATCTGGAGTGATGCAGGCTGAGAGAACTGTTACCCAGCCTAGCGGCATGATTTTTTCCAGATCCTACTAATCTCTGTTCTATTTGTGAAGTAGGCATGAGAGAAGAACACACAGGGCCCTTGCAGGTCCCCGTACTTGTTACCAGTTCCCAAACTGGTTGTGCTCTAGTGCTTTCCTGTTGTTATAATGTTATAATCTCCCTTACACTCCAGATGGCACTAGTGTGGTAGCTGAACTTTCCTGTTTCATTGCATTGTGTGGGGTGGGAATTCTCTGCCGAGAGCAATGTGAAGAAAGGAAAAGGTCCTAACTAGAAAGCTCTTTTCCAGTCTGTAGCACTTGTCCCTCTCTATTTCTTAGCTGCTGTTTCCCTCCCACTTCAGAAGCCAGTTACTTTGGTGTCCTTAAGGTTTCTTCCTGTTTCTCATTTGGCTACCTATTCCTTTTGTATAATCTCCAGACTTGGGCTGGGGTTAGGGAGCAGAGGGCATATACTAGTTTGACATCTTGCACAAGAGTGGAAGCCACAGTATTTTAAAATTATCTGTTTGTGTGTTTGCCCTTCACCAAAATAAGGTCATTAAAGGGAGGGGTTGTTTTATATACTTCAGCACAGTTCATGATGCAAACCTGGTGCCTAGTAAATGATGAAAGAATATCATTTTAATAGGATTCTTTCATTAAAAATACAAATTTACTACCAATGTAGAGCTCCTTTAATGTTGTAATATTATGCATTTATTAAAAACTTAATTTATATTAAATATTTGGGGATCATTTAGATCACTTTAGGGAAGGTTGCAATCCACAGAGTTAAAAAGGAAACAACTAACATAGTATAGTGTTTTAGAATTCTTGAAACATTTAATCTATGTTAATTGGGGCTATTATTGTTATCTCCATTTTATAGATGAAGAAGCTGTAAATCAGAGAGGATAAGGATTTATCTAAGACCAAACAGCTAATAAGTGATGAGCTAATATGTTGGGCTGGAAGTAAGCCCTGGCTTTAATTCTTTAGATAAGATGCTTCTTTATTCCTCAATGCTTTCCTCAGTGGGCATTTGACCATTGGTATTGAACTGATCTATCTCATTCTTTCGTAGGTTTTTATGCTTTGAAAAAGAGTTTAAAGCCAAAGTCCTTACAGAGGTTTTTCCGTGCCCCACATGATCTGTTCCCATCCCTCCTTTTCATCTTGTCTGTTCTTTGTTCACATTTCTCCTGCCACATTGGATAGCTTACTATTTTCCCAACATGCTAAGCATGCTATTCACTGTGTTGGGAATGTCTTTTTCCCAGGTGGTATCTTCACCTCCTTCAAACATTTGTGCAAAGGCAACAATTCGCAGCTGGACTTTCCATGACTATCCTGTTTAAAAGTGCAAACTGTCTCACGTTATATGCATTTTCCACCCTCTTTCCTTGCATTGTTTTTCTGTTAGCACTCAGCACATAGCTCTTCTAGTACAAGTTACAAGTTGTTACTCATTGTATTATTGTCTGCCTTTCCTCATTATTAGTCCAGTGCCTGGCGGAATACCTGGCTCAGTGAATGTTTGTTGAGTGAATGAATATAGGAAGGAAATTTAATTGATTAAACAAAACTTATTAATAATACTTGTTTTATTTTAAAATTTTATTTATTTAACTAATCTCTACACTCAACTTGGGGCTTGAACTCATGACGCTGGGATCAAGAATTGCACGCTTTTTTGACTGAGCCAGCCAGGCACCTCAGTGATAATTGCTTTTAATTAAATTTAAAGTCCTTTTAGTCAAGAACATGCATTTGTGAATAATGTAGAAATTTACTTTAGTTCACCAGGATTTGTTTATCAATTTAAGGTTTCTTCTGAGTTATTTTATTTATTTTTTATTAAAAAAATTTTTTCTTAATATTTATTTTTGAGAGACAGCATGAGTGGGAGAGGGGCAGGGAGAGAGGGAGACACAGAATCCAAAGCAGGCCCCAGGCTCCGAGTTGACAGCACAGAGCCAACACAGGGCTCAACCCCACGAACCACGAGATCATGACCTGAGTCAAAGTCGGACGCTTAACCGACTGAGCCACCCAGGCGCCCCTCTTCTGAGTTATTTAATGCATATCAATTTGTGTAAAATCTCCTGGGTTTCTTGGGAAAATGATATGATTCTGTGTAAGAAAGATAACATAGAATGTCTGTATAAGTATTTGTTTTAATAAACAAGGCAATTTAGTGTTGACAACAAAGTTAGTACTTTGAAAATACTACCTGAGATCTAATTTAATTCTAGTTTTCTGTAAAATATTTTCCTTATGAAACCACTCACCATTGAAATGTTCAAGTAGGTTGTGATTGATGTCACATGGGTATTTTTTAAAAGTTTTTAATGAGGAATAATGTTTTCATTTTTATATTTTAGAACATTATTAGTTATAATCCTCCTTGGGTATATATTCGGTATTTGTGTTCAAATAGTAAGGTAGCAGTTTTCTTGATTAGCCTTTACTTTTATTTAAACATTTATTTTCTTTCTTGTAGATTTGCTTTGAAGTCACGTTGATAACAAATATGGAGTCACCTTTGATAACTTCACCTGGAAAAGAGAATCTTCTTATTAAAAAAACATAAGGAAAACAGATGACCAAAGGAATCGTGCCAAATGCGAACTCAACGTCTTTTTGTATCATCTGGTTTTTAAATCATCAAGACAAATGGCTTGTACTTCAAAGAAAATTATTTGTTCATTGACATTGTTTTTAGCAGTTTAAAAAAAAAATCTTTTTTTTACCTTAACTATACAACTCTCTTATAAAATTAAACACATATAAAAATTTTAAGATCATGTTTAAAATAGCTTTCTTTTTTAGAACTTCAGTGTTTGTGTACCCTATTTTTGCTTGACAAAGTCATCAAAAATTTACAGCAACAGGAAAGATATGGACTTGGAAACTTATGTTATTATAATTGACTGCATTGAATTTAAGTGGACAATTCAAGACATCATCCCTTTTATCATCAGAAATATCATGTAAAATATATAATTCTTAGCTTTAATGTAAACAGAGTTTCTTGAAAATGGCATGGGTGAAATTCTTACGGAAACCTGGTGGCAATCTTGGAAAAGCTTATCAGCCTGGAAGTATGCTGTCCCTAGCCCCTACCAAAGGCTTGTTAAATGAACCAGGACAAAACAGCTGCTTTCTTAATAGTGCTGTACAGGTGAGACCATAATTTCTTGTTTAATTTTCAAAAGTGCTTTTCAAGAAATCCTTTGTTTAATGTTTCTTATACTGTAAATTAAGAGTAAAGTTATTATTGACTGGAAAGCCTTTTTAATATTACTTTTAATTGTATCAAAAATATTTTGGCTTGGCATTTTTTTTATTATAAACAGAAGTGAATATTATTTGTTTAATATAAATGGGAATGTTTTTGCAACAGAATAATGTATATCTATGCTATAAAAACATCTTTTGACTTAAAATGTTTATTTAGTAAGTTAAAAATATGTTTCTGAAATACATAAAATAGTTTTTTTGAATCAACTAATCTATTC